TAGGTATTGAGATGGGGTTTTAAAATAAAGATTTTAAAAAAAGTTTTGCACAATCGCAAGATGACAAGCGGAGGGGCCAAGATTGGCACATTGAGGACAGTAAGCAGACGCTTCTTAAAAGAATTTATGATGCTGGTTGGAAGAGACATGTTTGCCTATCTTACTACTTTTATTCGTTCTTACACATGATATTTGCGATTCTGCAGAAGTCTTCTTTTTGGACTATAAAGGAGTACTATAAATGACTTTAGCAAATTCATGAATTCTAAGGAGGGAAGGGGTAAGAAGGAGAAAAAAAATAGGAGATTCTGTTTCTTTCATTTAGCATCGTGACACAAAAAAAGACACTCCATATGTGCATGATTTAAGAAGAGTTTTCCACTTTAAATCTGTCCTTACCCTACCCAACACAGCGCCATGGAAAAGCACTTTGCTTCTATCTGAACAGCACGAAGGGATGTTGGACTTATTACACAGCTCAAATCCTATTTATTCTCTCTGGGCCCCGTATCCTCCCCACTGTACCCTTTGCCTCTGTGCACCGGAGGATGGAATGAGTTCTGGAGAGAACTTCTCCACCAGATATGGCTTTAATGTCTTCTTGCCTTTTAAGTAGGAAGCTGACAGAGTTTGGAAATTGCCAGGTAAGAAAAATTCTCACTTTGGGTGTTCCTTCTTTTTCTCCTTAGGATGTTCGAAGAGAGCATTCCATATCTTGTTTGACTATCATGTGGACCACAGATCTGACAGTCCATCAGAATGAATTACCCAAAATGCATTACACAAACTATCTTCCTGGCGGCCAAGCTTCCCCATGAGGTGGACTTCGTGCAGCCAAGGAGGGGTTGGTAAAGCGAGTGAGCGCTCAATGTGCTTGCTCTTTGAAAGCGTGTGGGCAGAGAAGTGAATAGGGAGCCAGGGTTCTCCATTCATTTATTCATTCAACAAATATTTATTGAGCACCTCCTACATGCCAAACACTTTTTCTAGCAGTCGTAACTCCAAAAATCAACAAAATCCCTGTGTTTTCTAGTGGGGCAGATAGATGAGAAATACTATACCCCCCGCCCCCCCACACACACATTAGATACCTTGTTATATAGTGATGGATGCTGAGGAGAAAACAAAGCAGGGAGGGGGGATTGGATGTGTGTAAGCATGAGAATCCATGTGTTTGTGAATTGTTGCAGATAATACGTAGGGTGACCACAGAAGGCATTACTAAGAAGATGATTTTTTGAGTAAGAACCTGAAGGAAGTGAGGAAAGGAGACGTAAGATTTCTGAGGCTGGAGGATTCTAAGTAGAAGGAATAGCAAGTGCAAAGGCCCTGGGGCAGGATAGTGCCTGGCCAGGTGGAAGAATAGTGAGGGCAGAGTGCCTAGAGAAAAGTAAGCTGGGGGTGAAACGTAAGAGAAGAGGTTGGAGGGGCCACAACAGGAGTCAGATCATTTATGGTACAGATAAGGACTTTGGTTCTTACCCTTAGAGAGATGGTAGCTACTGAAAGGTTTTGAATGGAGGAGAGGCCTGATCTCCATTTTAAGTGGACTATGTCGAGAATAAACAGAAGGGGGAAAGGGCAAAAGCAGAGAGATAAGTTAGAAGACAAGTGCAACAATGCGACTGAATTTGTCAGGGAAATGAGTAGCAGTTTATAGGGTGTTTAAGGTCTGTAACATATCCTTTACAAACTGGGTTTCAACTACCAGAGCCAAAAATTGCCTAAGCACTTCTCTGTTTACCCAGAATCAGGCTGGCACAGAAAAGCAGGTGGAAAATCGTTCCAAGCACAAGTGCACAAAACAGCGAGCTTCCCCCCTTCTTGGCACAGGTCTCCCGTAAAGAATTCTTAGGTTTACTTTGTTGGACATTTGTGGTTCTTTCCTCTAACTGCTTTAAAAAAACCCTGCAGCCTGCATTTCCTTTCTCACTTTCTTACTAAAACAGCAATTGACATTTATTTAGGAGCTTTGCCCATTCTAACAATTAAAGTTTATAGGAAATTAAACAACCCTCTCATATACTAGACTGGGTCCTGGAATAGAAAATAGGCATTAGTAAAAACATTGAACATTGGTGAAATCCGAATAAAGTCTGTACTTTAGGTAATCATATTTTACCAATGTTAATTACTAGTTCCAATGTACAAACATATGATGTTAACATTAGAAGAAGTGAGGTGAAGGGTATATGTGAACTTTCTGCACTATCTTTGCAACTTTTCTGTAGATTTTGTAAAAAATAAAACAATTATTTTTAAAAGCCCTCTCAAAGGGAAAAGAAAACACAAGAGTAAAAAAACAAGTGAAAGAAATTTTTTCAGAGATCATTTAGTAATTTTTGTCCACAATTAAACAGAAGGTGTAATTACCCAGTGTATAGTTAGGAAACATTCTTTCTTTTTCATTATTTCATTTAGATTAAGCTGCATTTCAAACACTTCACTTACCTCCTGCATTAAAGGCATATGTATTACATTCACTCTTAGGGATCTATTTTGCTTAGAAAATAGATATTTTTCAAAACGATTTACCAGTGAAAACCCTTGTCACTTGTTCATTTCCTTTCTTTCTGCCTCCCTCCAATCCCTACCTTGACTCTTCAGTCTTGCTCTGCAGCATGCCTTCACTACACAAATGCCACTGAACGCGATGGTCCTTGACCTAGACCCCCATTTTCTTTTTTCCTTTAACCCAAATACACCCTTTCTTTGTTTGCTGTTCTGAAGCACTGAGGAAAGAAATTTGCCATCTTGTTAAAAGAAAAAATCTGATCTTCTCAATGTCTGATTGTTTAGACCAGGAACGATGAATGCAAATGTCCCTACGGCCACACAAGCCTTGTAACAGGTGTGAGGCAGTTAGAGTAATGGGTAAAAATACTCTGGCATAGCCTACTTGGCCCTAAGATGGGTCTTATTTTGATTATTCCTGGGAAGTTGTGTCTTTTCTAGAACCTCAATGGAAGCTTGAATCTATTTCCAAGCACAGTGCTTCGGAAATACCCGTTATAGTTTAGTCATGTAATGTGGGAAAATGTGGCCAATTGCATGCAGTTTGAAGTAGTAAGCAGATAGGAATAAACATTTTTGTTTCTCTATCAGGTGGAGCAAAGATTGATGAAAGTTTAATGCAGCTGCAAATCACACAATAATACTGTGCAGTCTTCAGGAGTATTTCTTGGTCAGTAAGGCAGGACTGCATTTAAATTATCACAGAAAGATGACAGGCGTGACTTTAACCATAAAGCTCTAGGAAGGAACTCAGCTGCTTACTGGGTAACAAATTCCTATGTCTTATGATGCATTAGCCTAAGAAAGTTCTTTCTAGAGGGTACTTTCAATTTCCACTGTTGTAAATTAAGCCCACGATAAATAGCTAAAATGAATACCGGCAGATTAATATTACTAATGTTCCAGGGAAACTCTAATGAAATGTTTAAGATGCAAAGGATTAGGCCAAATTACTAACTGATGTAAGCAGCCAGTATCAGGGCCACGTGCGCATACAAAAGACATTAAGAGCCCAGCCTGTGTGGCTCAGTGGTTGAGTGTCAGGACACATGCCGGGGTTGCAGGCTCAATCCCCAGTGTGAGGTGTGCAGGAGGCAGCCAATCAATGATTCTCTCTCATCATTGGTGTTTCTATCTCTCCCTTCCTCTCTAAAATCAATAAAAATATATTATAAAAAAATTAGGAGATGGAGCATGTGGAGATGGCCTCCACTCCTTCATGTCCGGGGATCTGACAGGTAAAGAATGACATCTTTCTGGACCCTCTCAGCAAAACAAATAGCACACATGTAACTTGCTGAATACATTTTCTACAGGAGCTGGGACACTCCTCAATACCGGGGCCTCTCCTACGATGCCCCAGCCACCTGTTTCAGAGCTCTACCAAGCCACAGCCATTAACCAGACAGACATGCCCTCCCCACACCACCAAACCACCAAGGATGGTGCTGAAAAGGTTCACGTGCAACAGTCAACTCCTGTCTTCGGAAAGCATCACGGCCAGCCTGCACTTCCCCCATAACCTTCTGCTAAAAGCAGATTAGGCTGCTGGGATAAATCCACCTTATCCAATTTCAGTTCTTGCTTTACACACTCTATTCCATGGGGAAAAGGCTATTGTCACAGGATGGAATGGAAGTGAACCAGCACAATAGCCCTTTTATGCCCAAAGATGGATATTTAAAGTGTTCGGAGGTGGAAAGGTTAGTGCTTATTTAAGGAACAAACGGGGCTCCCGCGCATGTCACAGTTCCGGGTATAAGGGAAATGCATTTCCTCACGATTCTGCACAGCACAGCCGGGGGAGGAAAAAAGCCAAGCCCTTCTGTCACCTTGTCCTTGCTTATACAGACGGGAGCAAGGCTGAGCGTGGGGGACTGTGAGGGATGTTATCACGGACATCAGGTCACCCTTATCGATGCAGGAGCATGACAGGCATGTTCATTCTCTACAAGCTCTCATGGTCATCTCACTAACCTCAAATAAAAATATTTTTCCGGTATATGAAAAATTCACTTGGGGGGTCAACAGTGGCCAAGAATTTTTAGGTGGAGCTATAGGGGCTGAGGGCTGAATGCTCACCCCTTGCAATTTCTAAAAATGTTGAACATTGCCCTAACCGGTTTGGCTCAGTGGATAGAGCATTGGCCTGCGGACTGAAGAGTCCCAGGTTCGATTCTGGTCAAGGGCATGTACTTTGGTTGCGGGCACATCCCCAGTGGTGGGTGTGCAGGAGGCAGCTGATCGATGTTTCTCTCTCATTGATGTTTCAAACTCTCTATCCCTCTCCCTTCCTCTCTGTAAAAAATCAGTAAAATATATTTTTTAAAAAAAGGTTGAACATTCATCTAGCCAAGGTGACTTAAGCTAACGTGACTTTCCTGCTGGGCAAAGGAGTGAGGGTTTCAGCAGCCCCTCCCACCTCCTGAGGCTGGGAGAGATGGACGCACTAAAGCAAGAGCAGGGTTCACGCAGGCGCTCCTCACCTCTCCCCAGGCAGCAGGTGGGGGCTCCACGGGAGGGTAGTACTTGGGCACATCCCAGGCCACAGCCGCCATGAACCACTTGAAGTCCTTGCACTTGAGCTGTTTGCGCAACTCCTTCTGGGCGGAGATGTCCCCCGTGGAGAGGTGCCTGTACTCCGGGCGACGCTGGTAAATGTACTCGGCAAATTCGTCCATCCAGGTCTCCGCCACCCGCTTCAGGTTCTGTGCAGCAGAAAAGATGGTCATTTATTGGTCTATGCACTCAAAGGCTGAGCTCAGTTGCACTAGAAGTTGAAGAGAGAAAAGGGAAAGAAATCAGACAGCCTCAGGCAGCTCCGGTTGGTGGCTTATTAACAATGTGTTTTCATAACTGCATGGAGTATGATATGATTAGCCCAAGGCTTTGCATACATTCCCGCTCTGGCATGGGGGTCAGTTGCCAATCAGATAATTCATTGGAGCCCGTAAAAATTCAGTTTACAATTGTATCAACTTTCTCATCCCTCCCGCTACTTCATAATTATAAAAATTCTTTATTTTTCACATAGAACTAAGGCAGGTGAAACTGGAGATAATGAAGTTCCTCTTACGCATCACTTTGCTTTAAGCATTTCAAGGAACAGTTAGAGATTTTGCTTAGAAGGAGGACAAACAAGCTGATAACCACTATAGAGAGAAGGCAGCATCGCTCAATGCAAGGCCAGGTGTTCTGATGATATTTTCTATGTGTGACAGGATGCCAGGCAGAATCTAGTAAATTACTGCACAATGAAGCCGGGCGAAGGGAAGCGCCAAGTACCTACTCTTCTTCATTGGGGTGAAGGAAGGTTGATGGTGGGGAAATAAGCACCCCGTGTAGGGGCGGGAGTGTGTGTGCGTTCAGGGTAAGAAGCTCAGCCCTTTGGTCAGTTTTGAGATTGAGCGAGTTATTTGATTCCAGGCCTCAGATTCCTCACTTAAAGAAAGTACATAGAGTAATCTGCACCGACATCATGGGAGTGGTCGTAGGATTAAATAAAGTAACCTGTAAAGTGCTCAGAATAGTACCTGGCACACAGTAGGTATTAGGAATAGTAGAGCTATTATTACTTGAAAGAGTGTAGCATAATCAGAGAGCCTGGGTGCTGGGCTTGGCCACAGCTGAACTGCGCTGTTCCTGTGTCTGTGGGAAGGGCGTTAGCTGAGATGAGATGCTCTATGCCATTCCTTCAGCTCTATGATGCTACGTGGCAGAGAAAGCAACCGCATTGTCTTGAAGAGATGCTCCAGCTTGCAGCACAGTTTCATAGGCTGGTGTCCCATAGGCTATGGTTCTCTTTGTTTTGTGTTCAAATTCCTTCACTTAAGTATCCAGCTGGCGTGAACATTGACCCTTTCCAGGTTTTCATTTGCATTAGAAGATAAAATGAACAGAATAGCTGGGAACTTTAAGAAGATCCAGACACGTGTAAAAGTAAAGTAAAAACTAGTGATATTTTGTGCTAGCTGGTTTGGCTCAGTGGATAGAGTGTTGGCCTGTGGACCAAAGAGTCCCTGGTTCGATTCCGGTCAAGGGCACTTACCACGGTTGCAGACTCTTCCCCAGCCCGGGCCCCAGGGGTGTGTGTGCTGGAGGCAACAAATCTATGTGTTTCTCTCACATTGATGTTTCTCTCTATCTTTCCCTCTCTCTTCCACTCTCTCTCAAAGGTCAATGGAAAAATATCCTTGGGTGAGGATTAACAAAAACAAACAAAACAAACAAACAAACAAACAAACAAAACTAGTGATAATTAGGAAAATCACTTTATCTTAAAAATTGCTACAAAATTCTGATTAAGGCCTGGAACTATGCCCAGGGGTCTGCTGGATTTGGAGACACAGTCTTCAAATATTTTATTCCTAATGGGATCGTTTACTTTTCTTGTTCTGTCCTGCCAACTCCACATTCAGCATCTCCTTGGGCCTCTCCCCCATCTGACCTCCTCGCCCCCTCATGGATTCCTTGGTTAGTTATGACCAATGGTGGTCACAGAATAGGGCTCAATTAATACAGCAACATGCAGAAAAGAGACAATGCTACAAAGACTACTCTGATTTCTTGGTTGCCTCCGTGTCCCTTTTTTTCTAATATTCCTGTATCAAAAGTATAAGACTTGTTCTTCAATGAATTATTTGCCATTGTTGTGCTGCCTATCATCCCATTGGCATTGCCTTGTCTATAACACTTCCCACTCCCCTGCTTATACACCGTCCACGTGAATGGCCAAATAATATCATTGTGAAGTCATTATTCTGGAAATAACAATACTTCTGCACAGAAAAACTAACCACAAATAAAATGAAAAGGAAGCCAACTGAATGGGAGAACATATTTGGCAATGATACATCTAATAAGGGGTAATTTCTAAGATATATATAAGGAATTCATACAACTTAACAAAAGTAAGACAAAGAATCCAATTAAAAAAATGGGCAAAGGATCTAAATAGACATACAAATGCCCAAGGGACATGAAAAAATGCTCAAAGTCACTCATCATCAGAGAGATGCAAGTTAAAATGCCAATGAGGCATCACCTCACACCTGTCAGAATGGCTACCATCAACAAATCAACAAATGACAAATGCTGGCAAGGATATGAAAAAAAGGGAACCCTAGTACACTGCTGGTGGGAATGCAGACTGGTGCAGCCACTGTGCAAAACAGTATGAATTTTACTCAAAAAAATTAAATATGGAACTGTCATTTGACCCAGTGATCCTACTTCTAGAAATATATACTAAGAAACCAGAAACACCAATCAGAAAGAATATATGCACCCCAATGTGCATAACAGCACAATTTATAATAGCTAAGGTCTGGAAATAGCCCAAGTGCCCATTAGTAGATGAGTGCATAAAAAAGCTGTGATACATTTACATCATGAAATACTATGCAGTTGTAAAAAATAACAGCATGGAGGGACCTGGAGAATATTATGTTAAGTGAAACAAGCCAGTCAGAGAAAGACAAGTACCACATGATCTCACTCATATGTGGAATCTAATGAACAAAATAAACTGATAAACAAAATAGATTCAGAGACATAGAAGCATGGAACAGATTGACAAATCTCAGAGGGAAGGTGTGGGTGGGTGTGGATGGGTGAGGAGAGATTAACAAAAGAACTTATTTGCATAACCCATGGACACAGACAATTATGTGGTGAAGGCCTGGGGGGAGGAAGATGTGGGTTGGAGGGGGTCAATGGGAAAAAAGGGGGAAATATGTAAAACTTTCAACAATAAAGATAAATGAAAACACACACATATATAATAAAAACCCCAATACACTATGTTAATTTGCCACTGTTATCATGAATTAGCACTTTGTTTTTGGGAGAACATTGGAACCACAGCTGAGAAATATTACAAGCAGTTACAAGAAGAGTTTCCTGGGTCTTTTCTTGATTATAGAATAAAGTCATCCACTCCAGGAAATAGGATAGTCATATACACATTTGAGTTCACTGGCATCTTTACATAGGAACACATATACACACATTCAAATATATGGAGGCAACAGGGTAGGGGCAAAGCTATATTCCTCACTTAAACATTCATTGCTGTGTACACATTTAAAGAATCATGCAACTGAGACATCCCAATAATATCTCTTGCTAGAGGTGGTAAAAATCTTATATAATAAAAGACTAATATGCTAAGTGTCTGGTCGTCTGTTCAACCAATCAAAGTGTAATATGCTAATGATATGCTAAGGCCGCTCAACTCACTATGATGTGCACTGACCACCAGGGGGAAGATGCTTCGACTGGTAGGTTAGCTTGCTGCTGGGGTCCAGCCAATCGGGACTGAGTGAGGAGAGGGCCTAATCCATCAGTCAGACATCCCCTGAGGCTCCTGGACTGTGTTTCTTTAACCATAGTTTCTGCTGCTTCAATGCCCTTCTCCCTCCTGTTCCTCTAATTGCCACCACTCTGACACTCTCTCCTTAGTACTCCCAATTAGAGTTGCCAGATAAAATGTGGGGCACATAGTCAAAGTTGAATTTCCAATGAACAACAAATAATTATTAACTATAAGTATAATTAATACATGTATTACTATCACCTGTGTTAAATCAATTAAGCAAGCAGGCCTCTAGATGGAGGTGGCTAATACCATGGCGGCATACCTACACAATCCAAAATCTAAGCCTGCAAATGTCTCAAAATCAAAACACTCATGACAACCAATCACAAACAGCCAACTAGGCATAGCCAAGCAAATAATTTCTTTTCTTTACTTAACTTTAAAGTTTAAATAAACTTTAAACATTTTAAATATGCCTCAGTTGATCTTTTAACACATGGCACATACTTATACTGAAAAAATTATTTGCTTATCTGAAATTCAAATTTAGCTGGGTGTCCTATATTTTTGTTTGCTAAACCTGGCAACCCTATTTCCGATATACATAAAATGGATAGAATGTGTGCTCCATGAATGTGTTCGACTGTATATGTAGAATCTGGCATATTTTGTTGCTGTTGCCAATGCATAGTGAATTATTTCTTCTGTGGAAATTATTCCAGGGAAGCTTCAAGCGCTCTGCAGAGAAGTCGGCTATAACACACAGTTGATCTAAATATGCTGCCCACAATCCCACTGCTTTTCTGTTGCTCCCCGGTGGGAACCTGCTGGCCCCCTATCAGTGAAGCAAGCAGGGAAGCAGCCATATAGTTTAAGATAACAGCAGTGCTAAGTGGTAGCTGGAGGCCAGGGCTCAGCATGGCTAGAGGGGACAACGTAGGGCTTACTGTTAACATCAGTCTGAAAATAAGGTGAAGGCTTTCTGTCTCTGCACATCTGGGCTGGATTCCATTCAGGCCCTGAGTGTATGTGGACAAAGGGGATTGGAGGAGAGGGCCCAATCCCATTCAAGATGGATCCAGGAAGTTTTGACCTGCTAGGGTTATTCTCAGCATGGAAGTCATGGAAGTTTGAGAAAGATAGTTGCTGGAGCTGAAGAATACATTTTGTTTTTTGTATAGAAAGCAAATGAAGGATTTCTCTATTTTTTAAAAGCAGCAGACCGTCATACTTTTGAAATCATAAATGAAATAAAAACTGTTATTCTGAGCACCTTTTATGCATAAGACATTGATAACATCATCTATTTTTATATCACCCTTCTGTGCTTTCATGCATATCACAAATATTCCCCTACTGAACCGAAACTGATATTAAACTCTCCTTTCT